AGGCACAGCACACCGTGTTTCCCTGCATCCTGTCCAATAGTCTAATTCAGACAGACACAATTTGTAATTTAAATCAGTTCCAATTCATTAAACTTTTAACTAGTTATACTAATGAAAGAATACTGTTTAAAATCTAAAAGCAAGATACTGTATGCCTATATGCTTATGAGCTGCTATCAAACAAAAGATCCTCCTTTATTTTATCATTAGAGTCTCAGGGGCACCTGAATCTTAGAGAAGCTGATACTTGCCTTCTGTCTGGGTCACCTGTTATGCTAAGAAAGAACAAAACAAAGTGATACACTTTTATAAGGACAAAAAAAGCTAAAAAAAAAAAAAAAAGATAATAAAAAAGAAACTGTCTAAAATCTAAGAACTTAAGATACACTGACTCAGGACCCCTTGAAGTTAGCTATTTTATTAGGCAAGTGAAAAGCAATCCCCGGAAATTATGCAATTTCTTTAACAGTAGTATCTTTTTCAAGTTTGAGAGATCCTATCTTTAATATGGTACACTTGTTACTTTCCAAACCTGTTAGTGTCAAAGGCAGATGTCATTAGAAAGGGTTAGTGAGGCAAAGCAAACCACAGAGAAAGGGAAGTCAGGGACCTGATGATAGTGTTTCACAGCAAGTGAAACAGAAGCACCTGCCGGTGAGCAAGGCTGTGGATGCGCCAGGCCTGCTGCGGACCACAGGGGCACCGCCAGCGCCGCTCACAGGGCTCACTTGCCTCAGCCAGTCACCACGCTCCCTTGTTAGGCTTGTGGCAACACCATGCTAAAGTGACTATTTTTCTGATGCGTGTACTTGGTACTATGGTATCCTGGAGTTATTTGGCATTACTGAAAACTGTGGGTCAAGAGTCCGAGACGGGTGAACATATCAGAGCTGTGAAGCGTCTTCAGAATTCCAGGGCTCAGGTTCAAATCCTAGCTTTGCTAACAAGAGCCTTATGAACTTAAACAAGTTGTTTAATCTAGGCCTCATTTTGTTAATTTCTAAAAATCTGTAAAATGAGGTTAATAACACTGAAAACTATACTCATGAGTAGATGTGATAATATCTGTGTACTGAACCACAAAGCTCAATATGTAAAATTTTAAGATCATACTTAAGAAACTGTTTAAATGCCTTCTTTAAAAAAAAAGCTCAGGGTCCGGCGTGGTGGCACAGTGGTTAAGGTCCTTGCCTTGCACACCTGGGATCCCATATGGGCGCCGGTTCTAATCCCAGCAGCCCCGCTTCCCTTCCAGCTCCCTGCCTGTGGCCTGGGAAAGAATCGAGGACGACACAAAGCTTTGGGACCCTGCACCCGTGTGGGAGACCCAGAAGAGGCTCTTGGCTCTGGATCGGCATAACATCGGCCGTTGCGCTCACTTGGGGAGTGAATCATCGGACGGAAGATCTTCCTCTCTCCTCTCTGTATATCTGCCTTTCCAATAAAAATAAAAAATAAATCTTTAAAATGAAAAAGCTCAGAAAATTACTAAGACACAATTTAAGTTTTCTGGACTATGCAGAATCACAAACATAAATTCTAAGGTATGATGACAAGCACAGCAAGTGTCCACACCCACCAAGCACTCTCCCTGTGGACACACCTTGAGCCAGGGCAGTGTCTGGCCGGGGCTGAGGCTGACGGGGAGCTCATCTCTATGCTACCTATTTTCAAATTGTTACATTAAAATTTTAAAACAATTATAACTAGTTTCTTATCTTTGTTCACAGTCTGAAATAATTTTTGTTTCCATCTCTAGCAAGCCTCTCCCTCTCTCTCCCAATGTACTGATTCTAAGCTTCAGTAAGCTAAGAAACCAAGTAACTATTTCATACAAATGGAACTGGGAAAAACGTGTGTGTGTGTGTATATATATATATATATATAATGTGATATATACATATGTTATATTATAGATGCACCTGTATAATTTATGCAAACATAAGCCATTGACAATTATAATGAATGAAGTTTATAAAAATAAGAAAAATAATTTCTTACTAGCAACATAATATTTTAACGAAATTCCTTGGCACTATACAGGAGATGAAATGCAAACAAGGATCCAGTATTTGTCCTGCAGAAGTCCACGGTCTAATGAAGATACATATGAAAAATCACAGCAGAGAAGCGAGGCAGCAAAGAGCAGAGGTTTATTTGAAATCAAGTATTTTTCTGCAAGTGATGGGGAGTTTACCAGCGTGGGGGCTCAGAACTGAGATGAGCTGACATGGTCAAGATCAGCGGGCACCTGAGAAGAGCCACAGGCAGACAAGCCTGGCACTGGAGCAGAAGGCTCGGAGCGGGAGATGAGACAGGCCAACACGGACAGACTGCAACGGCCTGGGCCACCGAACTGAGCAAGAGCTGGCTCTGCACCACGCACTGTGGAATTACCAAGTCTATCCTCCCAGGGTAAGGTGCCTGGCATCTCAGTGGCACCCAATCAAAAGGGATGAATTAGAAAGATAGAGCTTAAGTTCACTCAAGAAGCAAGAACGCACTTGTTGAAAGACTTTAAAAAAAATTGACATTTAAGATGAGGTAATCTAAATTTCTTCTATATGCTGCCTTTTCCTTATCAGAAATATATAATTTCCAGTGTCTGGGAATTCTGAACTAATTCCTTAGAGTTCAAAAACTCACTCGATAGAATCAGGAGCAAGTAGAAATGTATAATTACTGATTATACACACCAGGATCCCAATATGGGCGCAAGTTCATGTCCTGGCTGCTCCACTTCTCATCCAGCTCCCTGCCTGTGGCCTGCGAAAGCAGTGGAGGACGGCCCAAAGCCTTGGGACCCTGCACCCGCATGGATAACATGAAAGAAGCTCCTGGCTTCGGACTGGCTCAACTCCTGCTGTTTTAGCAGCTTGGGGGTGAACCAGCAGATGGAAGATCTTTCTCTGTCTCTCCTCCTCTCTGTAAATCTGCCTTTCCAATAAAAATAAATAAATCTTTAGAAAAAGACAAAACAAAAAACTCAAAGATATTAAAATGCTTCCCCTACAACTACATTCTAGTTACTAAGGACAATATTCCTAAAAGGCTTCTCCGAATGAAAACGAGACACATTCAAATGTCTTCTCTGTACCTTCTGTGTATAAACTCAGATAAATGCACATTACATAAACTCATAAAACAATGTTCATAAATTGCTGACAAAGAGTTAATGAATTAGAACAGGAGAAGCTGCTGAGGCATTTGAGAGTGTGAACCGGCTCCCTTATTAGGGAGCTTATCAGTAAAACATAGAGGGCCAGCTTTTTAGTTGTTTTAATTCACAAAATAAAAAGACTTTAATAGACTCATGGTTCTCAGTGAAAACCAAGAGAGGCACAAGGTCAGAGGTGTGAAGACAGCCACACCTTTTCGGATAAGCCAGCATTCAATAGTTCCTTTTGTTCGCCCTCCTTCTTTGGCACATCTTTGTTGATTACAGTGGGCAGTATGGAAGTAATTAGCAAAGATTCAAACTCAACATAGTAACCTAATTTTGAAATCACCTGAAATTCACTTAATCCAACCTCACTGGCATGTATTTTTACGACAACATTTCCGAGTGACTGAAAACTCCCTGTCCACAAACAACTGGGCTGGCAGTGGAACATCTCTGCTTTGGAGTCAGGGTCACCAGTGTGGAAGAGTCTGCACAGGCCTGCTGAGGGGGCTCCCCAGGCCATGCCTGGCAGGGTGATGGCTGTGTCACGGAGGGGTGCTAGGTTTGTAGCTCTAAGTTCTTAACAACTTGTATTTCAAGTAACCAGGGTTTCCCAGAGCCCACTGGCTTTCCAGGATATTACAAAGTACCCCACTGGCACCGAGGGGCCAGGCTACAGTCCCAAGGACCTTGTTTGTAGAACTTCTTTTCTTCAACCTTACTTTGCAATGGCCAATAATTCAGCTTTCCATGAGCAGCTACTAGCTGAGAAGGCAGAGAACAGAAGGCCACTTAGCCGAAAAACCCACTACATGTAACAAGTTGGCTGGCAAACTGCGAGCAAGAACTCGAAAGTTGTAATGCCACTGGACAGAGAATAAACAGCGGTGTGCCTTGAGCAATCCTGCAGATTTAGGAAACTTCTGTTCTCCTTACTGGAATAACACCGATCCGCCAAGCAGCGAATCAGTGGTGACACCTCCGGGGGGCTTCACACGGTGGGCAAGATGCCCTGCACCGTAGGTTGCAAAATTACTTTTAGATTTTTTTGGGGGGGGAGGTTGCATTATCATCATATGAAAGTCACAGGCAAGTTCCCTCCCCCACAAGTCGAGGCTGGAATTTTACACTTAGCACGCCATCAGCATGTGGAGCCAGTTCTACCGTTTGGACTTTTGGGTTTTTGAGTTGGGCTTCCTGAATCATGACTTTGCCCTCAAATACCCTGAAATGAAAGTGCATCACACAGCACGTGCAAGTAAGCACCTCAGGAGGCTTCAGGGAGGAGGAGGAGGGAGTTAACAGCAAACACTCCAGACGCCAGGTGACAAGTCCACTGCTGGGAGCAAAGGCGGATTTGCTGTGGTCAGGGGGAGCGGAAAGAGCCACACCCAGGGTTAAGGACTCCACCAAGTGACTGCTACTACAAGTTTCTGAATTTACACCAGTGCTTTTTTCGGTACTTGTTTTTGTCACCATGGACGGTTGTCTTAACTCACACCACGCCCGCAGTTAAAGAAAACGTTCCTCGGAGCCCAGTTTACTTAGAAACCTTCGCTCGGGGATGGCCAAGGCCAAGATGGAGAACTGATTCCCACTCAATGAAGGACTGCAGCGAGCGGCGTGCAAGCTGGCCTTGTGCCCCTACTTTTGGGGTGCCTCATCACCCCGTCCTGCCCAGCGCCCCTGGCTGCTCTTCTCAGCGCCCACCCTGTCCTGCCCAGCGCCCCTGGCTCCCCTCGGGGCCCACCCCATCCTGCCCAGCGCCCCTGGTTCCCCTCGGGGCCCACCCCATCCTGCCCAGCGCCCCTGGCTCCCCTCGGAACCCCCCGCTCACCTTGGCCACATAGTCTTTCACCTCGTCCAGGTCTCCGTTCTTCAGGGCCCACATGAACTCCTTGTCGCACATCGCTGCGGCGGGGCGGGCACCAGACGAGGGGGCGGTGGGCAGCAGCCAGCGAAGAGCGCCCGGCGAGAGGCAGACAGGGCCGCGCCAAGCCGGCGAGGAGGGAGAGGAGGGCGAGGAGGGCGAGGCGCTGGGCCGCGACGACGCTCGAAGCAAGAGAAGGAACTTTGGCGGCCACCAGGCCCAGCGGAGCAGGTTCCGCCTGGCCGAGAGAAGCTGGAGCGCTTACACTTCCGGTTCACTCCCAGCTAGGACCCTCCCCTAACTTCCTCTTCCTCTTCCCCTGAGCCGAGCTCCTTTCGCTGAGCCCCGCCCATAGGCCCTCGGCGCCAGCCGCACGTAGACGCAGGCGCAGTGGCAAGGCGGGGAGAGCCTGGCTGAAAGGGAGGAAACGAGAAGTGGGCGGGACTGAGAGGGAGGAGCCGGGGAGTGGGCGGGACGGGAGAGAGGCGCCAGGGCAGTGGGCGGGGCTTGGGTAGAAGCGCCAGGGCAGTGGGCGGGGTTCGGAGGCGCTCAGGTAGCAACGCACGCGGTGAGTTGGAGTGGGTCTGATGGGAATAGGACATTTATCGCCCACCACAAACGGGAAAAGCTGTTGTGAATTTTGAAGGGCGTCTTGCTCACCTTCAAGACATGTGCACCAGGCGATTTTGATTTGAGATTTTTTCCTCCCTGCTCTTCTCCCCTTCTTTCCCTCCCCTCCTCCCCTCCTCCTTTCCAACGTTTCCTCATTCCCTCACTCTCTCCCTCTCACCTTCTGAAGCTGTACGGGAGGCACTTTTTGATTTAGGGTTCTTCCCTCTGTCCCTCGTCTTCTCCCTCTATCACTGCCTTTTTTCTTTCTTTCCTTCCCTCCGTGCCCTCCCTTCCTCCTCACATCCCTCCTACCTTCCCTCTCTCCTTCCTTCCGTTCCTGCCGCATGCCAGATTCACTAGACGATGACAGTATAGTAAAGAAAAAGTAATGCTATACAGCAGTTTCTGCCTCAGAGAAACCTTGAATACTTAAGACAAAAACATGACTTTAACATGTTAATATGCATAGATGCACTTACATGTGTTGAGAGCGAAAAAAAATGAACTCCTCTTCCTGCCCCTCCCTCCCCCAAAAAGCTGTCCAGCATTCGGTATTCAGTTTAATGTCACGAGCGGAGCAGACTTTACTGCCCGATGGGATTTATGTTTTTACAGATCTTGTGTTGGTTTTTAATGGTTTGAAATTTCAGGACTGGTCTCCCAGGGTTTGGCTGTTAATACCTTTTGGAAGAACAGCGCATGTGAACACAGAGAGATGTGGTAAAAGCTCTTAGGGGAACTATCCTATCTGCGTATAATATACATCCTCTCATTTATACCACACTAAACAAATAGGCTGTTACTCTGCTGTTCTTACCACAAGGTGTGGGCGTTGAGAACACAGGCTCTGGAGCTGAACTGCCTGGCTGTGAATACAGGAGCCACCCTGCGGAAGTTTGTGTTATCCGGGAATGTTTCCCTAACCCCTTCCCCTCCACACACGCTTTGGTATTCTACATGTGTAAAATAAGGAGGTAATGTGTTTACTAATTATTAGGTGTATGCTAGCACTTAGAAATAATAGGCCAGAGCTTCCCACGAAAAGAAACACTTCCAAATGTTGAATAGCTTCTTAGATTTTTATCCTGCTAATTTTACTTTCTGACAATTAGAAGTACAAATCCACACACCCAACAATCTACGAGTTGGATATCTGTTGGGGCTTTAGCATGCTACTATTTAGAAAAAAAAAGGGAGTTGACACGTGTGATGTGGTGGGAACAAGAGTTGAGTTTGCTGAACGTTCAGGTTTTAATGCATAAGTCTGAGTGTGAGTGCTTAAAGAATTTTCAGAGCTGGAGATCATGGCATGGCTTCAGTGTCCATGCTATCTGGATGGCCACTCAGAAAGTATCTTTCTGACCCTCCCCTAACTAAAAGAGTGTTGTAGGGAAGTATAATATGCAAATAATAATCTTCTTGTGAAACAAGATCCAAAAGTGAAAACATGAGAATATTGAATAAATCAATCACACAACTAGCATTTTGACCAGTCTTTTAAAAAATTTCTATTTTTAATTTTGAGTTTTGTGGTACAATTGAGTAGAACTACACAGAGAGAGACAGCAAGTGAACAAGCTGGAAAGATCTTCCATCTTTTGGTCCACTCCCCAAATGGCCGGAGCTAAACTTATCCCAAGTCAGGGGCCAAGAGTTTCTTCCTTGTTTCTCACATGGTTGCAGGGACCCGTGAACTTGAGCCGTCCTTCACTACTTTCCCAGGCCGTAAGCAGGGAGCTGGATTAGAAATGAAGCAGCCAGGATAGAAACTGGCACCCATGTGGGATGTTGGCACTGGAGGCTGAGGCTTAGCTGAGGTGCAAACCTTTTGAGCAGTCATTTGCTCTTGTTCTATAGCTATCATTTAAGCTAGGACAGTAATAGAGGCTGTAAAACCTTGAGATAATTTCTCTGTAAGAATCTGCTAGATTCTTAATCATGATCATCAAGAAGTAATTAATGGTTACTATAGTAAACATTTGCCTTTCAACAAGATTTTGCTGTCTAGCATTTGCATATACCTTTTATGTTTTTTTGGAAAATTCCCCCTGTAATGTAATACATTTTGGAAGGAGGCCGATTCATTTGCAGTTGTCAATGGAGGAAACGCCGAACACTCACTGTTTTTGTATCTTGCTGTTTTCGCTGCTGTCAGTATGGTGGAAGCAGCTGAGGTTCCCCAGAGCCCATGATGTGGAGACTGTGAGATTCATGCTCCGTAGGGGCATCTGGGTGATGGACGGGCTCTACAAGGCCATCTGCAGCCCCTGGGACAGGTATGCTGAGGCCAAAGGTGACAGTGGCAGCAGTGGGCACTGAGAGGAAGGGGGTTACACCGTGTAACAGAAGATGCAATTCTCTGCTTCATAGCCTCCTGTCAGTTCTCCAATTCTCCCAGTGATTCTGGGAGCCACCCACTATGGTTTGAACAAATTCCATGTTCTGGTTAAGTCAGTTGGAGTTGGTTTTTCTTGCTTGCATCTTGTAGCGATACAGTCATCAGCATGAAAGGATAACATTAATAGCAACAGAAGCAGAAAATTTATTTTCATCAAACTCAATTGTAGTGGTACCGATAACAGCAGTAACATTGAACACTCGAGTGATTTCTCTGTGCCTGGCACTACTGTGTGTTCATCATGTTTATGAACTCATTCAATGCTGAAAATAATCCCTTGGGCAAAGTGAGGGACAGATAGGGACCCAGCTGGCAAACATAAGATCCAGGCTTTGAATCTGAACATTTTGACTCCAGGGCAATCATGAAGAGTTCTCTTCCTGCTACATGGAATTGGAGATATCGCAGAGACCAAGCAGTGAAGCTAAGGGAGCTGTCAGGTTTGCTGCTAGAGCGCAGGGAGGTCAGAGCTGGAGAGACACACCTGAGTCCTTGGCGTGCAGCACCACAAAGCTAGCAGGCAGAGGTTCACTCCATGGAAAGCAGAGAAAGAAGGCTGAGCCTTCCGGTCAGCCAACCCTGAGAGAGTAGAAAGCAAACAAGTGAACCCTGTCTCCATCACAGCTCCAATTCTTCCTTGCCCTCTTTGTTTTACAAAGAACTAGGTTAGTAAACACAAGATGGATTTCCGAGAGGGAAATGGATGAGATTTCTGTGGGCTACACTGGTCTGGCATTGAAGACACAAAATGGGAGGCTGGAGATGGCACTAGGAGAGGAACTAGTGTATTAAAAACCTCCATTATGAGTGATCTGAGGGCATAGACAGTTTGCTGCTTCAACCTCCTCTTACACCTCTGACTGCTGGCTCACTGGGCAACAGCCACAGTGTTCTTTCACACCCTCAAGCATATTAACCTTGCCTACCACAAGACCCTTGCTCGTGCACCTCTCTCGGCTGCCTGTTTTTCTTAGCCACCCTGCCTTCTTGCTTGGCTGTCTTAGCAACTTCTACTGTTTCTTGTATAGTTATCACTGTTTACACTAGCTTAGCTTCTAGTCACCTTTGCAAATAGAGCATCATCCTCAGAAATGGACAGTGTGTGTGTCTGTTTTGTTCTTTTATCCCCATGTTTGAAGATGCGTCCTTGATGGATGAGTAGCCTTAGCGTCTAGCAATAACTATTATTGTCTGAATGAATGTATTCATTGAGTGTTAGACATCAGAAATTGTTTAAGAGGTTTATCCTAATAACCCATTCAGCTCCATGGTGTGGCTATTTTTGTTCCCATTTCACACATGAGTTGACAGAGGCTGAGAAACTTTCAGGAACCTGATCAAGTTCACACAGCTGGTAAAAGAGATAGAGGCAGACCCGGGTATTCTAAGGATTCCATGGTGAAAGGGACCAGGATCCGATGGGGGGGGCGGGGTGAGGGGAGAAGAAGAGCTGCAGTGATGCATGGGGCAGTAAGGCTCCGCCACCACCCCAATGGCAAAGTCCCAGAGGGCTGCTGATTTACACACACCTGGGCAAAGGCAGGGTGTCTAAGGGGGCAGTGCTGTGTGCTATAGACACACGAAGCCCCGAATGCGTTCTTCAACCTAGCTGACCACAGCAGAAGTGGTGGTCAGGCCTTTTTCTTGGTCATAAAGCAAAAAGGAATCAGATCAGCAACTCAATACTCATCCATTCACTCCGTAACTGAGCTGATTACTTCCTATCCCCCAGGAAAAATAGAGCAGGCATTAAGGTATCTGGTGACAGGCCCACGATTTTTAGAAGGAGTAGTCAGCTCTCATACATTTGTATCGTATTCATTATTATACGTTTGTGAGATGATTTGGTGAATATTTGTCTCTCTGAAGATCCCACCGCAGCTGTTTCTTTGCTCCTTGCTTTACTCTATATTGTGTTATAATACTTAGCGTAACAGTACTGGTGAAGATCAGTAAATAATGAATGAGTAATGAACACATTGTCGTAATAATGATGATGAGGAGTAGAGGGTACATGCTTGCATCAGATACTTTTAAAAATACTTCTACACGTATTAACTCATCTACTTCATACAACAACTCTATGCGATAGCACAGTTATTTTTTTCCCAGTGTATAAACGTGGAAACCAGGGCACAGAACCAGTAGCCCAAGACAACACAACTTGTAAGTGGCAGAGCTGGGAATGCAATGCTGTTCTGAAAGAATCCTGCTTTTACTACATTACTGTACCACC